TGAGAAAGAGGTGCTGTTCCTCCTGCCATGTCCTGGATCAGCCTGCTGAAGCTCAGAGTTTCAGTGGCCCCCTCCAGGGTAGCTTCACGTTAGGACATACATGCACCAGGACCAGCTCACACCAAAACTCTTGGTGGCTCTAAACTACTTAGCCACCAAGCTAACGCTGGCTTGGGAGCGACCACTCTCGGAGGTTCTCCCTCCTAAGAAGGTGGCAGCTTTCAGATATGCATGCGTAACATGAAGTCTCAAGAAGTAAGAGTTTGGGGCTGCTGGTGCTCACCTGTAATCCTAGCACTAGGGAGGTTGAGGCAGGAGGACTGCTGTGAGTTTGAGGATGGCTTAAGTAGGCAACACAGTGAGTTCAAGGATAGTCAGAACTACATTGCGAGAATATGTCTCAAAAAGGGGGGGAGTTTGTTCTGTATCCTTAAGATGCAGAAATATAAGTTCACCAAGTGGGAATATTGACATCTCAAAAAATAGATAATGGGACCCGACTTACAATGTTTCCGGTGAAGTTAGGTGAACATCAGTGTAAAAGCCATTGCTTCTTTGGTTTTGGCTGCTTTGTGACTTCCTTTGTGGTCCCAGGAATCATCAGTGAAGAGCTTGGGCGTGGCACCGTCAGACCTCTGGTCCTTTCAGAGTGGAAAGCAAATCAGAGTGGGGTAGATGACCGACGAGGTTCACTGCACTGTGCGTTAGTAACTCCTACGCTCAGTGCCTGCTTCCTTCTCGGGCATTCTGTGCCCTGTATGACAGTCTTTCTGCCTTTCTCACTTTAGTGCCTCCATTTTCCCTGGCACAGGAGCACCTCGGGTTGTCGGGTGCATAAATTCACAAACCCCACGGCATCCTGACCAAGTAGCACCAAGAGCGAACCAAGAAATCCCCGAGTGCACATCTGGCCCCTAAGCAGCCGCCTTGCCCACCTCGGACACTGCCTTCGTGATGGGACACGTCTGCTTGCCTCTGGAGAGGCAGGGAGGAAGATTCGGAGAAGATTGCTTTCTTCAACTGAAAGCAGCTCAGAAGGAACTGCTGTGACCTGAGATCCCTCACGCTGGTCTGTCGAGGTGGGGGGGGACACTTTGTCCCCAGGAACCTGCATCTTACAGGTGGCCTCCAGACCACAGGTTCAACACAGAAAAAGGCAGGCAGCTCACTCTACTAGGTCTCTGTCCGGGAGCTTTTGCCAAAAGCTTCTTGCAGCTTCTTCAGCTCAGACAGTGACTGGCCATCCCAGGCGACTCAAGGAGCTATGTGTGGAGATGCCACCTACCGTTCACAAATGACACCCAGGAGGGGGCTGTGTATTCAAAGGGCGCCCTGGCCCATGCCGCGGGCTGCTGTGACTGTGGGAGGGAACCAGCCTTACAGCCAGGATCACAGAGCACAGGCTCCGAGCTGGGCTGTGGCCCAGTTCTCTGCCTGAAGAGAAGGAATAAAGCAGGGAGAAAGGAGGCAAACAAGTTGCCATTTTTCAGTTGTAGTTTTAAGAAAACTGCAGCTTCGAGATGCAAAGGCACCCAGCTTTGTGATGTTTCTTTGATCCCGTGGCCTGTTTTTGCTTTGCAAGTTCCTTGATTCTAAATCAAGTGAGATTTAGCTAGGCTTGGTGGCACACACCTATAATCCCAGCATTCTGGAAAGCCTAAATTAGCAGGAAAATCACAAATTGAAGCCCAGCCTGGGAAATGTAGTAACACCCTGTGTCTTAGTTACTTTTCTTGTTGCTAAAACAAAACACCTGAGACTCAAAGTAAAAGGTAGAAAGGTTCATTTAGCTCCTGAGTTTGTAGAGATTTCATTTCAGAGTTAGCTCCAAAGCA